GGGATGGATGGGATATTGGGAAGGAATTGTTCCCTGGGAGGGTGGGGAGGCCCTGGCACAGGGTGCCCAGAGCAGCTGTGGCTGCCCCTGGATCCCTGGCAGTGCCCAAGGCCAGGCTGGACATTGGGGCTGGGAGCAGCCTGGGACAGTGGGAGGTRTCCCTGCCATGGCAGGGGTGGAGTAGGAACCCTTTAAAAAGCCCCTTCCAACTCACACCATTCTCTGGTGATGCAATAGGATTTCCTTGTCCCATTCCATCCTTGCTGAGCTGGTGCTGGTCACAAACTTCCTGTTGAGTCACTGCTCAGGTTTGGGCTTGGTTTGCACCCCAAAGGCCAGGCCTGTTCTGTAGCAGCAGCACGATGTACATCCTGCTTCATCCTGCACATCCTTCCCACGTCTGTCCCCATCCCAGAATCCCAGAATGGTTTGGTTGGAAGGAACCATCAACATCCCCCAGTTCCAAGCCCCTGCACGGGCAGGGATGCCACTCRYTAGAGAGTCCAGAGAAGCAGYTGAGAGCATCTTGAGAAGCATTTGAAAGGTTGCTGTTGTGAAGCCAGTTGGTTTTTCTGTTTCATTTTTAGTCATGAAAGACTTCAGAGTCCTTCCAGTGTCTCCAGAATAAGGATTGACCAGTCCTGTTGGAGTGCCACTGGCAGGATCACCCCAAATGTGACGTTTCAGGGCTCTGGGGGCAGGTGTGAGGCTGGCAGAGCAGAGGGAATCCCGAGTGCACGGGGACTCACCCCGCAGCAGCACAGCCTCCTGCCGGGCTGGTCGGGTGGGAGCTGCAGAGACAGAGCCCCCGGGGTGACTGCAAGGTGCTGCAGCGTGGCTGTGATCCCTAGGGGTGCCTGTTCCTTTGGGATTGTGGTAATAACCCCGTTCCTGTTTTTCTGCTGCCCTCAGCTGATCCACGGCACCGTGGTGGACACAGCCATCGTGTTCCCGCACCGCCTGGGGCTGCCCTACAAGCGGGCACTGCGCACGCTGATGGCCGACTACCTCAAACGCATCATCCAGGACAACGGTGAGAGCCTGGGGGCACCTCAGCCCTGCCTTCCTCTGCCCTCCCCCAGCCCATTCTCTTCCTCCTGGTGGTTTTTTCCCTGGGGTAGCTGCGAATGTGCTGGCATTCTTCTCCCACTGCTGGTTTYAGGGTGACCCTTGTGAGGGCAGAGCTGTCCCTGCTCCCCTCCTCTCCAGGGCAGAGCTGTGACGAGGCTGGGGTGGCTCTGCTAAAGCCAGGTCCTGCCCTCCCTTCTCTGTCTCCATCCACCTGAGATGGACCTTCCTGTTGGAATCGTGGCCCATTCCTTTCCATCTTCCCTGAGCTGTAAACACTGCTGGGAAAGCTCCCAGCTGTTCTACAGCTGGATGGTGCCAGGCTGAAGTTCAGCAAAAAGTGTGGGTTTAGTGGAAAAAATGTGTTTAAAGGTGGGGTTGTTCAGCCTGGAGAGAAGGATCCAGGGAAAGCTCAGAGCCCCTTGCAGGGCCTAAGGAGGCTCCAGGAGAGTTGGAGAGGGGCTGGGGACAAGGGCTGGAGGGACAGGACACAGGGAATGGCTTSCCAGTGCCAGAGGGCAGGGATGGATGGGATATTGGGAAGGAATTGTTCCCTGGGAGGGTGGGSAGGCCCTGGCACAGGGTGCCYAGAGCAGCTGTGGCTGCCCCTGGATCCCTGGCAGTCACCAAGGCCAGGCTGGAGCAATGTGGGACAGTGGGAGGTGTCCCTTGTGGTTGGGATGAGCTTGTACAAACCACAGACACAATTCTGTGATTCTGTAGAATTTCCCTTCAAATCCCCGGCTGTGGCTGCGGGGGACAGGGAGCAGATGGCCCTGTCTGGGTGTCCCTGTGCACCCCAGGGCTCAGTGCCCGTCTGTGTGTGTGTCCCCAGTGGAAGGACACGACTCCAGCGAGGACGCCAGGGCCTGCATGGAGCTGATGGTGTGGAAGATCAAAGAAGACGCGAAAGTGAAGCGCTGAGCCACGTCTCCGCTGTTCTCCTGCGCCTCTGGGAAGAAGCAGTGCAATAAACACCCACAGTCACTCTGTCCCCGTGCCAGCAGCATGTTCCTGCTYCCCAGCCATCCCAGCAGGACCCCTGCACTCACACCCACGCTCCCCGTGGCCGGCGGTGGCTCTGGGATCCTCCATCCCCACCTGAGGGGTTCTCTGTGGTCCAAGCACTGCCTTGTGGGCCAGGCAAGGTGGTTTGGAGTAGCACAACCAGAWCTTCTTGGTTCCTAGGAGAAACTTGTTAGAGGTAGGTTGGAGATGTGCAGAAGGATCTTTCTGGTTCAGTTAAAGGTAGATYGTTTACTTCTTTTGTTTTTTCCCTCCCCAAATGTAACTTAAATTGCCTCTGTGCTCCAAAGCAGCGTTTGGAGATGGGGAGATGCAAGAAGGTCGGGCAGGAAGCTGTGGGTGGATTGTGGAGCTGCTGTGGGAGGAGGAAACCAGAGCTGAGGATCGAGCAAAGATTATGGTGCAATCCCAGTGTGGAGCTGCAGAGGAGGGAGGCTGGCTCTGAGCACTGGAGGGACAGCAGTGAGATGGGACCTGGGAAYTGCCACCTGGGGCTGCAGTCACTGCAGAGGGGAGGCCACGAGTGCCACACCTTGCCCAGACCTCAGGGAGCCACGTGGCAGGGCAGGGACAGAGCTCCCAGAGCAGGGAGAAGCTGTACCCCATTGCTGCGGGGCAGGACATGCTGTCCTTCCCCACCCCGAGCTTCCAGCAGGGCCCAGGGGGTTTGTGTTTAGGGAACAAGGTGTTTGTGGGGTGCACCTCAGGGTGGCCTCAGCAGCGTGCAGGACTCCCCAGCAGCCTGTCCCTGATGCAGGGACCTGCTGCAGGCAGGGGCAAAAGCAATAGGGAAAAATCCTTCATTTCAACTCATTTCCATGTTGGGAGTTGTGCAGAGAGCAAGGAGCCAGCTGTGAGTGTGGCACCTGGGCAGCAGCAGCTKCTGAGAGTGTGACTGTCACTCTGGGGTGACTGGGCACAGCCCAGGCAGGCTGGGGACACTGCTGGGTCCCTTTGCCCTGACCCTGCTGCTGTCAGGGRACAGCAGAGCTGAGGGMAGCCATCCCCATGGYTGGGCTCTCAGCTGGGGTCAGGCAGCAGCTTCACCCCGTTCCCARAGCAGTGACCTCCCTCCCTGGCAGCACAGAACTGTGTCCCTTGGCTGCTGYGGTCCCTGTGTCCCTGGCATGGGCTGGCTGTCCCTCTGGGGGCAGTGGGGCAGAGGAGCTGCTGGGTTTGGTTCCTGGTGGAGTCGGGTTCTGCTCTCTCCTTTGTACCCGTTGGGCTCAGGGTTTGGGGACAGCTGTGTCCCCTGCCTGTCCTGAGCTGTGCCACGCTGYGGGCAGCAGAGTGGGCTGGGCTGGGTTCCAGGACAGGGATGTCCTGCTCCATCCCCACCTTGGGCTTGGCCAGCTCTGCCCCAGGGAGGCAGAGAGGGGAACACAGACTGCTGTTCCTGCTCAGCCTGTCCCCGCTCTGACAGCCTGTTCCTCACCCTGGRTTTTGGGAACACAGCTCCACATCCATCTCTGCTCCTTCCCTGCCTCGGGGCTCCCACCCCACGCAGCCTTGGGACAGCCTGGCCTGCAGGGAACRGTGCAGCTCCTGCTGGGAGAGACAGTTCAGTGCTTCCTGCCTGGGAGGGAAGGTTTGTTCCTGCTTCTGCCTCTTTCCCATGTTTATCCCCCATTTATCTTCACCCCTGGCTGCAGCGATGGAATGTCCCTGGAGCAGCCACGTCACATCTCAGCCCGGGCTCTTGCCTCCTGCCCGTTCCTCAGCAGGCAGCCCCTGCTTCCCTGCCCTCAGCAGCTCRTTCCCTGCAAAAGCCAGGACATTCCAACATGGACACGCTGTGCTGGTGTCCTGCTGGTGGAGCTGCTTGGCTCGGTCCCATCTGCTGGGGTTGGGGAAGGCAGGAGGTTCCTCCAGGCAGGAATCCATCCTCCATCGTCCCCCCTTCCTTTCCCAAGGTCCAGCTGAAACTGAGGCTTTTGGGGTGGGGGTTTAGGGGGATTGTCTGTCCCAAGGGGTGGCCCTGGGGAGGCAGAGCCATGTCAGTGTGATCAGAGCCAGTCCTGGGCTGCCATCACCCCCCAGGCACAAGAGATTTGGTTGGGTTGTACAGAACGATTGTAACCTGTAACTTTTTGTAATTGTTTTTAATAAAAGAGTGTTGACTAGATGCACATTGCTGAGTCTGGGACTGTTCTCCCTGCGGATGGGTTGTGTAGGGGGGTGCTGGAGCCATCCTGGGGAACATCCTTTCCTGAGCTGGACAAGTGGGTTCAGCATGTCCAGGGATCTGCACGTGGTTCTGGACAATCCCAGCCCTGAGCACAGAGCAGAAGAGGAACTCACAGAGAGCAGCCCTGGGGAGAAGGATTTGGGGCTGTTGTGGGTGAGAGGCTCACCCTGCCCCAGCCCTGGGCAACAACAGCAGCAGAACGTGGAGCTGCTGGAGCCAGGGCAGAGGAGAGCACGGAGATGCTGCAGGGCTGGAGCCCCTCTGCTCTGGGGCCAGGCTGGGAGAGCTGGGGGTGCTCACCTGGACAGGAGAAGGATCCAGGGAGAGCTCAGAGTCCCTTTGGGGCCTGAAGGGGCTCCAGGAGAGCTGGAGAGGGACTGGGGCCAAGGGCTGGAGGGACAGGACACAGGGAATGGCTTCCCAGTGCCAGAGGGCAGGGATGGATGGGATATTGGGAAGGAATTGTTCCCTGGGAGGGTGGGGAGGCCCTGGCACAGGGTGCCCAGAGCAGCTGTGGCTGCCCCTGGATCCCTGGCAGTGCCCAAGGCCAGGCTGGACATTGGGGCTGGGAGCAGCCTGGGACAGTGGGAGGTGTCCCTGCCATGGCAGGGGTGGCACTGGATGGGCTCTGAGGTTCCTTCTAATCCAACCCATTCCATGATTCTGTGACAGGGTGGGAATCAGACCCCGTTTAAGCTGCTCAGGGTTGGGGTGGCCCCGTTGGGTCCCAGAGTGTCCCCTCAGGTGTGTCCGCCCCCCACCCCTCTGGCCCAGGGTGACACCGGCGCCTCCGGGCTCGGGCTGAGGGGTGTGGGGGGATCCCATCCCCGAGGGGTCCCAGCCCGTTCCCCCCCGCCACTTGGGAACCCGGCTCCCACCCGATCCGAACCATTCTGGGATTCCACGATCCCTTCCGCCTGCAGCCGCGGTTCATTCCCGGCTCTGCAGCCCAGCCCGGCCTTCCCAGCCCCATTCCCAACTCCCGGCGCTCCGTGCCCCTCCAGGACCTTCCAGGACCCTCGGGAGGAGCCGAGGAGCCCGAGGCAAAGGGATCAAACCGGTGCCACAGTTTTGGGAGAGAACCCTGATCCCAACCCGAGGAGGGGGGGCCGTGGCCGGACCCTCTCTCTGTGCAGACCCTCCCCATCCCGAGGGTACCCGAGGGTACCCTGCCCCCGCGGGCATCACCCGGGCACATCCCGGCTCCTCCTGCCCCACCCCGGGCTGGGATGGACCCTCRGCATCCCCCCGGCCGTGCCCAGCTCCCCCCGAGCCCGGATCCATCTCCCGAATGGGGCAGGAATCGGGAATTGAAGCGCCGAGCCAAGGAGCTGATTCAGCACGGAGGAAGAGGTGAAGGTAAAAAGTTCAAATCAAACAATAATGGCCCATTAGATGACCTCACAGGCAATGTGTTTTATTTAACGCGCGGCTGATGGCTCGGCGGTGGCAGCGGCTCTGAATGTCGCGCCTGGAGCGCGTTCTCAGCCRCCTCCTTGGGCCGTGGTGGCACCGGCAGAGCCACCCCGCAGGTGCCACCCCATCCCCGAGGGTCCCCTCCCCTCCCGCCGCGTCCTTTGCAGGTCACCTGACAGCCCGAGGTGACATCAGGGATACCCTGTGGTGACAAAGTGTTTCGCTTTGCTGCTCTTTGGGAGCCTGGAGGGTGACAGGGACCCTTCGGGTGTCCCCCAGGTCCGGGGTGCAGGCAGGTGGGATTTTTAGGATTATGACAGCCCTGGTCCCAAGGGAGCAGCACCCAGCCAGGCCCAGGCATGGGGAGGGAAAAGGGGACATAAAGCCACATGGGACGGGACTTGGAGCACCCTGGGACAGTGGGAGGTGTCCCTGTCACGGCAGGGGTGGCACTGGATGGGATTTGAGGTGCCTTCCAGCCCAAACAACTCCTGGATTTGATGACACCAAAGCACGTTCAGGATCTGCCTCAGAGCTCTCAGTGTTTTTCCCTGGAAGATTCTGTCTCCCAGAGCACTGCCAGAGCRGGGGCATCACCAACAGGGCCCCAGGGAGGGATTCTCTTGTTCCCTGGAACTTTTGTCCCTTCTGGGTGCCCTCACCGCTGAATCTGAGTGTGGCCCCAGGGCTTGGCACTGCCCGTCCCCGGGTCAGTGCTCAGAGGCTGCGGCTGAACTGGGGGAAACAAAGGAGCAGGGAAAACCCAGAACCCCATTCCTTCCCCTTCCCGAGACCCTCTGGGGTGAGCTGAGACCTGGGAGGTGAAAGAAAGCAGCTGCTGAGGCAAAGGCTCCATTTGCAGCCCAGCAAGGGGAGAGGGGTGAGCTCAGAGGTGCTGCCACATCACAAATTCCCCTTTGTCCCCCGTCCCCGGCGTCCATATCCATGGAAACCCCCTCCATCCCCTGTCCCAGTCTGAGCTCTACCAGTGAACTGGTGCTGCTGGGACGGTTCTGGGAGCTGTCWTAGACCTGGCTCGGAGGTTTAGCTCTTCCCTATGAGCGCTGGGGCAGCCAACTCCCGGGCAGGGGACACGCCAGGACAGGGGACACGCGGTGCCCAGGAGGGGACACGGCAGGACAGCCCCCGCAGCACCCCAGGGACACCCTCTGCCCCGGCCTCCCGGCGCTCATTTAATTACACGGGGAGAGGGGGAGGTGTCAGCTAATTGCAGAGGGCGATTGATTGGGGAAATGTCATCTTGGCTGGCTTCTGTTGCCAGGGTGACCTCGGC